CACCCAGAAATAGATGACAGATGTTCTGACAAAGACGATCAAGACAAATCAATTTCTCCACTTAAGGGATGAAATTAGTGTTGTTAGTTTTGATTAGGAAATCCTAAATTAAGGGATGATATTAAAGGGTAATTTTGTATCTTAGTAAGTTGTCTATGTGACCATAATATGTGTTTATAAATAGACTAATGATGGATGTTATATATATGACAACAATAGGGGTTACTCTCTATTTATATATTTTATATTTGTTTGCTCCCTAAGCAAAGCCCCAAAAACAAAAATCCAAAATACATAATTCTTCTAACACTACAAAATTATGCCTAAGTTGAAATTTCTGTCGAGCAACCTGTTTCAACATTTCGACAACTGAACAAATTCGACACACACTGAGTTATTTTGACACTATCTTGTTTTTGTCAGAAAAACTATTTCGACTCAAGGAATTACATTCTTAACACACCACCTAATTCATTGTGTCTAAGTTATCTACATTCATCATAAATCTTAATTTCTTGAACACTTTGACCTGCATTCCTTTCGCCATGACATCTGTGATTTTCAGTTATGCATTGTTCCAAGTTCAACTTCTCATCTGCTACCTACTCTCGAAGATAATGAAACCTTAATTCGATGTACTTGCTTCGTCCATATGCTATCAGATTCTTTGCCAGATTGATACTGACATGCTGTCGATCTTCATGAAAATGGCTCCATGATTCTTCCCTATAATTTGTTTGATCAAATTCATCATCCATGTTGCTTGACATGCGTAGAGAAAAACAGCTACGTATTCTGTTTCACATGATGACATTGTCACTATTGGTTCTCTTCTCGAACTCCAAACAACTGGTGCACCACCTAGCATAAACACATAATCAGTTGTGAATTTTCTATCCTCAACATCACTACACCAACTTGAGTCGGTGTATCCCACTAGTTTGCATTCTTTTCCTTCATCAGCTGCAGGAAACAACATGTCATAGTCGAGTGTTTCTTTGAGATACCTTAGTATATTTTTCGTCGGTGCTATATGTGATATCTTTGACTTCGGCATAAATCTACTCACCATACTTACATTGTATGCTAGATCAGACCTTGTGTGACAAATATACTTTAACGATCCAATAAGTCTTATGTACTGTGTTGGATCGACATCATCTTCATATGAGTCTTTCGATAAATGCAGTCTTGGTTTAGCAGGTGTCGAAGTCGATTTGCATTCTTCCATCTCAAATCTCTTGAGTATTTCACTTGCATATATTCTTTGATGCATCATTAATCCTCCAATACTTTTTTTTTTATTTAACCAACCAATTTTAATTTATATAATAAATCGACTAATCTAATTTTGTGATTCAGAAGGACGACCTACCGATCAAATCTTGTTTATTCGTCCTTAATACAAAACTCTTAAATATATATAATTTTTTGGAAACGCGTTAAATCATGTTTATTGTGAGTTTCAGCTAATTTGGGTTTTCCTTCTCCCCTCATTTGGCAACGGCAACGGTGTAATTTTCTTTTGACTCCTTACCTGTTTTAAAAAATACTAATCCATATTTGTCGCATTTGTTTAAACGAAATACGTATTTTTACCCTTACCTACCCTTACCCTAATAAGTAATAACATCTGCATGCACTCTTTACAAACCACACCCACAAAAGCAAACTCTTATTAAATGTTTCTTCGATTAAGAGGTAGCTGAATTTCATTCCGTGGCTCTACTGTAAACTACTCACTCTCTACCTTCAACACAACCACCGTCAATCACCGCCATACACGTGTACGGTGATTGACATGGACGCTCACACTCCTCTCCTCAACGGCGCCGCTTCTTCGTCTCCGCCGTTGTTGGAGGAAGACGGCGATTACACGGAAGTGAAAGGCTTTAAACAAGCCAGAAAGGTTTTCGCGATTGAAACGGCGAAAATATGGAGAATTGCATTGCCTATAGTTTTCAACATTTTGTGCCAATACGGTGTTAACTCTATTACGAATATCTTCGTTGGTCATCTCGGTGATATTGAACTCTCTGCTATTTCTCTCATTAACTCTGTCATTGGCACTTTCGCTTTTGGCTTCATGGTTTGTCTCTCTTTTCCCCTTTACAACACTTTCAATAATAATCTATTAAGCACTGATGACACCAGAAACACAATAAATTAAAGTAGCGGTTTTGAAGTTCTGATTGGTTTTTTATTTGTTTCTATTTTGTGATGTGTATCGTAATTGATCCATATAAAATTCATTAGGTCAATACATTTTAAGGATGATTTTTGATGGTGCTCTGTTAAACCTGTAGTTAGGAATGGGGAGCGCGACGGAGACGCTCTGCGGTCAAGCTTTTGGAGCTGGACAGATTCAATTGCTTGGTGTTTATATGCAACGGTCGTGGATAATTCTATTTGTGACGAGTTTATTACTCTTGCCGATATACATTTTTGCTGCTCCGATTTTGAAACTTCTTGGCCAACAGAAAGATATGGCTGATCTTGCTGGAAATTTTGCACTTTTAGTGATTCCGCAATTCCTCTCACTTTCCTTCAATTTTCCAACACAAAAGTTTCTTCAGTCTCAGAGTAAGGTTAATGTGATTGCGTGGATTGGGTTGGTGGCTCTGATTTTGCATATTGGCTTGCTCTGGCTCTTGATTTATGTGTTAGAGTTAGGCTTAACTGGTGCAGCGATTGCATTTGATGTCACAAGTTGGGGAATTACTTTGGCTCAACTTGTTTATGTGGTTGGTTGGTGTAAGGATGGATGGAATGGGTTGTCGTGGTTGGCTTTTAACGATATATGGTCCTTTGTTAGGCTATCGATTGCATCGGCTGTTATGCTTTGCCTTGAAGTTTGGTATATGATGAGTCTTATTGTTCTTGCTGGTCACCTTGATAATGCAGTGATTGCTGTCGATTCCATCTCTATATGGTAAGATCATACTTTCAGGTCTTCTTTGTATAAACAGCTTAATGAAGCGATTGTAGTATAACTACATACAATATACTCCCTCCGTCTCAAAATAATAGTCGTTTAAGGTTGTTACACGGAGATTAAGAAAAGTAATGATTGAGTCAATAAAAGTAACATCTTTACAAAATTACCCCTTGTTATTTTTGGTTGTAGTACATTGTCATACTTGGAAAGAGTGTATACAAGGGGTAAAATTGGTAAAAGTTAATTATAATTGCATTGGAAAAGTAAAGAGACTATTATTTTGAGACAACTTTTTGAGGCTAGAAAGACAATTATTTTGAGACAAAGGGAGTAAGTTCTTTTGTATAAGCTTTTATCAGTATAATGTTTTGCTAATGCATTCAATGATGTTTTATAGCATGAATTACAATGGATGGGAAGGCATGATCTTCATTGGCATAAATGCAGCTATAAGGTATGCAGTCGGAAGTTATGTCTTACTGTTGTTAGTTATTCCAATTTATGATTGATCAAATTCCAAGGCACCTAGATGCCAAGTTCCTTGTTATGAGTCCAATCGTGTTACATGTCTCCTTGTTAAATATGCATAACAACTTCACATTATTAGCAGTGGATGCATAATTGCATATAGGGTTTTCTGTAATCATGTTTGTTTCACCTTTGTAATTTTTCTTATTTTCAGTGTCCGAGTTTCCAATGAACTTGGTCTTCGACATCCAAGAGCTGCCAAATACTCTGTCTATGTGACAGTCATTCAATCTCTTTTCATGGGAATATTCTTCATGGGTGTTATTTTGCTAACCAAGGACTATTTTGCCATCATTTTTACCAATAGCGAGACTTTGCAAGTGGCGGTTGCAAAACTAGGAGGCCTCCTTGCCGTGACAATGGTTCTAAACAGCGTTCAACCAGTGATTTCGGGTATGAACTTGTTACCATTTTCACTGTCTACTTCATGAAGGATAATAGATCATCCCCTTGGTTTATCTCCTATTCACAAATTTGAAATTTTTCTTACAGGTGTTGCTGTTGGAGGTGGATGGCAGGCCTTGGTGGCTTACATCAACATAGGTTGTTATTACTTGTTTGGGCTTCCATTAGGGTACCTTCTTGGTTATGTTGCAGAATTGGGGGTTAAGGTAATGTATTCACTATTCATTATTCTATTTATATTTGTTTCTAAACCTCCTCAAATAATTTCATAAATTTTGTAAAACAAACACTTCTTACCATTTGGATCTGCAAAAACGAGGAAAAGGGAAAATATTAGAATCTGTTTCCTTCTAATGTGTCCTGTTTCTAATGATTCTGATTTTTTTTCTTTCTGTTTAGGGACTTTGGGGAGGTATGATATGTGGAATTCTCCTCCAGACCTTGCTGCTATTGGGGATACTTTACAAAACCAATTGGAACAAAGAGGTAGGCATTACTTCTTGTTCTAACTTCTGAGACTCATGTTGATAATGATCAGTTTTGAACTTCAAGGCAACATAGTCACCCTTTTTGGTTCTTAAATGCATAACTAGCTTGATTGAATTTAGAGACTTTCATTACTTCAAATTCCTTGACTCTTCTCAATTGTAGGTCGATGACACATCTGCACGCGTGCAGCAGTGGGGTGGACAATCCGCTGAAGTTGACAAGACACCGGCTTCTGCATAAAGTTGCACATACCTCCCACTTCCTATGTGTTCTTAGTAAAATTAAAAACTATGGTCTCAAAAGTTTTTTCTGACCATTTCGCACTGTAATCTAGTAGTTGATTTCTTTCAATTAGGTTCATGACATTATCTGTCTTATGTTGTGTTGCTGCTGGGAAATGGCGAAGACAGAAAGGCATTCATATTTTTGCTAATTTATTTTCCATCTTTTAATTATATAGCATCTTAGTAAAAATTGGAACCATCGGTGTTTATCTTTTTACTCTTGCACGTCTATCTTATTATACCTTTATCTTATTATACCTTTAAAGTGACTAGACAGACCAAGAGGAAACTAAGTTCCAAGCCTGATACACTTAGAGGTATTTACATTAACGGGGCGGACATGGACTTTTGCCATTTTATGACCGCCCCACCCACCCTGGATTTTTGACCCTCACCCCGCCCCAGATTTTCGGCCCGTCCTCTCTACTATGAATGTTCTGTTCAACCTTGTTTTTTTCCAAGTATTTAACCAGCGGGTTTAAACAGGATGGGCATATTTGTTTGTTGCCCTTAACAATAATACAATTTAAAAACTGAGAAATATAGTCACTCTGAATTATGTATATACCAAGAAGCTCCTTGCTTGGGCAGCCCATCTGCAAATTCATTTTCTTCATGTTGAGAAACAATCGGCCAGAGCAAGGGGTCAACGAAGATTTTATCATCGCGTACAAAACTTTGGAAACTTTGGAAGATATGGAAATTCATCGAATAAGGCTTTACAAGTGAATGAAATGCCTTAAGAAAATCTCAAAAATCTTTAGGATGACCCAAAGTTTGTTGAAAGTGATGAAGGCTGAAGAGGTATCTCTGAACAACAAGTACGAATCACGTGGAGACCAGATACAAGTGTCTACAAGCTTCATTTGAGAAAGCTCTATTGCTAGTGAATTTTTTCACACTGGTATCAAAATATCCAGAGAGGAGATTCATGTTGAGCAGAAGGTTTTGAATGGAAAACTTGTTCCTCTTGGCAGCAAACCACCCTATCAGGTTCCTTTTTTTCCTTCTGATTATTTGAAATAACCATGTTGGCCACCCCCAACATCAAAACTCTGTACTGGTCATTTGGCCCTCTGTCAAAATTTAGTAATAATTTTCCTTCTTTTCATTATTTCTTTTCGCTTGTTCTCGTACATTGCTTTGCGTATTTTCACTCCTTTCCATTATAGCTTTGCTCCTTTATTCATCTAGAGTATCACTTTTATTATCAGCAAAATATGCTAAATATTTTGAACTTAATGAAACGAGTGTGCTTGTGTTTCATACCTATTTCTTACCGGCTCCGGTTTAGGGTTACTATTTCCGGCTCTTTGTAGTTATTTTAGGGAGTTATATCCAGTTGATTTTTAGGACATTTTGGGGGAAGCGTTTATCTTAGTTTTTGGTTATTTACAGGATCAATTAGATTGATTCTAGGACGAATGTGTATAATTTTTTTTGTTTAAATTTTCTTAATGATAATTTCTTCGACGGTGATTGTGAATTTGAAAGTGGTATAGAATTGGTTTATGAAAATAACAGAAAGATAAAGAATTTTCGACTGAAATTTAAAGGGAATATAAATGACTTTAATGAAAATAAACTAACATTGAAAATAAAGATGGTGCTTCAGACGTATATTTCTCATAAAACTCTTTTCTCAATAACCCTTAGATACTTCAAGTGGATATGAGTTTGGTACAATATTGAACACACAGAATCCTAATGCTAAGACTCCTCCTATTTACATTACTTCGACAGTAACGGTAACAAATTGTCTTTTCTCTAAAAAAATGACACGTTCTCGCTTGCATGTGCTTTGTCTTTCGCAGACTTCCACGCGTCCTATTTCAAAGAGCGGATAAGACCAAAATTCAGTTAACAACCTTGTTTCTAATTATTCTTGTCAAATTCATTTCGAATCATTTCCAAAAATCTCTAAGTCCCAATCGTTGTATCATTTTGCTACTTCGAAGCTTCTTCACCATGCTCCAGTCAAAATGCTATCTGACTTCTTCATCGAAGGCAACTTATTTACTACAAATATTTATCAAAAATCCTCTTGACATTCTTATTCTTTTTTAGCGTCAAATTTATAGCTAACAAATTATTCCAAAAATGTATTTTTTGATCAAACAGAGAAAATAACATTTTTTGAAAGTTTTCGACGCTACAATATTTATTGTTGTGACATGATGATCATGATGACCACTTTTCCCAAACGTCTCATCGAGACATACATTTTTGCATAAAATCATTATCCCTAGAATAAAGGAGCATGGTGGTAACTAAATAGGCAACCGTCTGCACAATTTCTTAGAAATATACACGTTCCCCACTAACTTTTCCATTCGTCATTCAAATAAGAATTTGAACGACTTTTCTTCTCTTATAAGTACCTTGTTCTTCCACCTTTTACAACTTTCCTATCTTTGAGCTCACAAATCATCAATCTTTTGCAGTCTTTTTCTTAAAAAATCAAACAAAAATTCTTCCTCTTCAAACTCCAAACTTTAACAATGACGCCCAGGATTCGAAAAGACGCTAAGAAGAAAGAAGCTTAAACGCCCATTATCTAATCCCAAAGTCGTTGCTGGTAGGAAATCAGGAGTACGTTCTTGAGCCTCCTCTTCTTGAAGAAAAGCATGAAATTTATCAGTCCTAGGTACTTTTCCCTTTGTCTGTAGAAAATCGTGCGTACATGAGCCCTTTGTTTGGCCCTAATGCAGATGCTGCAAAAATCAAAGAATTTTTTCTATTTATCATCGCACAAAGTCCTTGGCTAGCAAGAAGAAACTGATGACAAAAGTAATGTCAAACCTGATACCCAAATAAAACCTGTAGATGATAAAGCGAAGTCTTCGACTGATGCTTCGAAACCAGACAACCTTATCAATTTAGATTAAATGAGAAACACTGTTAGAGTGTTTCGCTCTTGCCCCTTGGCAAAAGATCATGAGCCATACCTTGCTTGGCTTTCCAAATTTGAGAAGAAGAAAGTCAATTCTGGAAAGAAATGGAGATTTATGACATGGTCCAATTGTCAAAATCTAGTTTAGGCTACAACCAAATCATGTTAGTAGCTTCGTTATATTTCTGAGACGTTTCTCATAATAACTTTCATTTCCCTTGCAGAATGATGACCCATACCCTCTTTGACATCGTTGCGATTATTGGCCTTCGACCAACTGGAGAAACTTTTGATTCGTTTGAGATGGATGAGGACACCATCAACTTCAAGAGAAACAAAGTCACATTCACCTATTACATATCTGGCCACCACGACAAAACAACTGAGGAAGTCTCTGACAAAGAGCACATTACCTTTCTACCACTTTGGCTATCGCGTTATGTCTTTTGTTCGAGATCTCTCCAAGTGGAAAAAAGATTCATAACTATGGCTAACCAACTACATGTTGGACGCAAGCTATGCCTGAGCCAAATGATCTTGGGTTTCCTTTATGAGTCATTGGGAGAATCTGTCAAAATCCTAAGGACTTATAAGTTAGGGACAACCATTTTATTTGCTGGTCCATTTTGGTTACTCCAATTGTGGTCGAAAGTCACCTTTGAGCTTTCACTCCCAACATGCAACATCATTAATGAAGAGGATGAGAAGATAAAAATAAGAGGGTCGTAGGGACAAGATTGGTACAATTAACCCCAAGTGACGAAGGATCAAATCTATAAGATTCCTTCACTAGATTCGTGATGATGTTCGCCAAAAGTCACAACTTTACTTCTTTCATGCTCCTTTTGCCAATAGAACACATGGTTGTGAATGGTTCACAAGAGCATATCATGCCTCTTCGACAAATCAAGAAGTAGAGTCCATGGCCATATGTAAATCGTTTCTCACCCCTAAGTTGCTTGCCTCTAGACTGTGGCCTTCAAAGAATCAAATTATTTTGGTCAGTTACCAACCTAATCTGGTCTCTTGAGAGTTTGACATCATTCAGACAATGCCTAAACCACTTTATGTCAAAAGGGTGCTCTCCACCTCTATAGCATGTGGTTTCCTGAGGATTGTAGCGATGAAAATTTGAGACTAAAGCCATTGATTGACTTAACTCATAACAGTGAAAATCACCACCGCGCTTTATTATTTTCAAGAGAATGAGAAAAGAGCGAAGTAAAACCCATAAATATGCAAAGTAAAAGCAACACTAAAAGTAAAGCAAAATAAAATGCATTTGAAGAGATCTAAAGCCCGGAGGTTGGTTATACAAAGGGAAGGTATTAACACCCTATGTATTTATAATATCCTATAGGAACCTTTTAAAATATTTGTTTTTTTTTGCTAAAATTGGTTTGCTTATAAAAGGTTTGGCTCAAAGAAATTTTGAAAATGCAACGATCTAATGTCGAGGTTTTTGGCTTAAAAGAGTGTAAGTTTAAAAATAAGGTTTTAAGGATTTTAACTAAAGCAAAACAAATAGGATAAAAACAAATATACAATAGACGCACAATGACATAAAGTTAACAAGACGATCCTTTCCCTTGGATTTAAACACTATTATCAACAAAATAATATTCACCGATCACATGACAATAGGTGACCAAACATCAAGTAAATTGATAAGCATCAAAATATGACATAGTAAATGATCAAAAGGTTAATGTGAAACCATCAAAGCATCAAGGTCACAAATAGACAAGCGATCGTTTAACTAAATAATTAAAATAAAAAATCAAATAAGACAAAGCAGAACTAATTAATTCTAATTAAGGAGAAATTTTCTTTTTTGTTGTAAGTTTTTATGATTAAACTAGTCAACCTAAGTTAATTACTAATATTAAATCTAATTAACAAATATTTTTTGAATTTTTATGAAATGTCTTTTTTTTAGAGAAATGATAAAAATAATAAAAAGGTCATTCAATTGATTTTAAGGAATCAAACTAAAAAAACTATTGAAAACAAATTAACAAAAAAAAGGGTGTTTAAACAGTATAGTGGAGCTGCACCACATCAATTTCGGACAGGGCTTAAAAGAAACAGGCCCAAGAAATAAAAAAGATCATAAGGAAATAAAATATACTGGGCCGGACTGGGTTAGGGGAAGTCCAGACCCAGCGGGTTATGCAAGGAGTTGGGTTGAAAAAACCCTAAGAAGGCAATCGATTGTCCCCAACAATAATAACACAGTTTCTTGGCTCTATCATTTTCGGTTTTTTGATTCAGATTTTGTCACACGGTAAAACAATTTATTTCTCTCATGCTTAGTTTTCACAATCGAACAACAAGAAAGAAAACATCGCAGAATTAATCGTAGCAATAACAACAAATGGCTCAGAAATTGAATAAACAAAGAGGTACTAAAATGGTGGAAAGAATGATACCTGTCAGAGTCTCTCCGACGGAGTTGAGTTTGTGTTTTTCGTAGGCTGAAACGTCATCGCCTGAAGTGATCGTTGCAGGTGAGCTATTGTTATTTTTACGTGAAATTTTTTATGTATATTTGAACAGAGTTTTCTTTTGTTATGAGCAGAATTTTGTGAAGTTTTTCTGTACTATTTTCCTGAGAGATTTTTTTTGTGTTTTCTGTGTGTTGAACAAAAACTCGTTAGTATTTGTGTGAGATAAATAGAAGTTTCTGAGGTATTTTGTGTGAGTTTATGCCTCTTGCTGTCTGCCTTTTCTGTTGAGATGAAGCCTCATTTTATAGAGGAAGAATAATGA